GCTTCCTCCTGTTCTTTTTCTTCTCTTACCCGAACAACCAACACACCTAATCTTTCTGCCTTCCTCCCTTGCTGTTTTGATCCATCCTGCATAGTCGACAAACCTACCCCCTTTCTTTCTTTCTCTCAACTCAATTCTCTGTATACAAGAGGAGTACTTTTCTCTCTTTGAGAATTTGCTCCCTTGGGTTCCGTAAAACCTTCACTAATTCAACCGCAATTTTCAACCAGTGTTCCCAACCGTCCCGGGTGCCCTGCAGGGCCCTGACGAGCGTGGCGTCCGTCTTTGATAAAGACTGCCGTCTGAGGGGTTGACGCCCGGGCCCGGGAGTCTTAATACAAATGGCATCTTTCCGCCCTCCTCACCATGGCCCGGACCTCATCTGCAGAGCCCGGCCGTCATCTACAGGACATGGCCGTCATCTGCGGGGCCCGGCCATCATGTCTGGGGCCCGGCTCTCATCTGCGGGTTTATTTGCATGTGAGACACCTATAAGGCCCGGCCGGCCGTCCCGGGTAGAGGTTAGGACGGACCACAGGACCGGCGTCTGTCTAGGGCAGAGTTCTAGGAACTAGCGTCCGTCCCGTCCGAAGCTAAGGACGGACGGACTGGACGCTTGGGAACACTGTTTTCAACACTTCCCATTATTCAGCATAGAGTGATGAGCTAAGCACGCAGCTTTCGGCATACTCGTCGTCCCTGTATGCTATCCCCAAATTACCCCCCATATTGCCTTCCGTCCCTTATATCTTCCCTGACCGAAGTACTGGCAATCATAATCGCTAACTATGCGAGGAACAAGGAGATGTCATTGGTGCACGCGGAGGTTGCCCTTCGCCCAGGAGCCTAAAATACGATTACCTCGTCACTCACACTCGAGTTCCTGGAGTAGGTAAATGGACTCGTAACACGTCAAGGTGCTGGAGTACTTAAGGGGCGGTGGTATGCCCCCTTTATCGGAAACCACTCCGAAATCAAGCAAGCAAAATTCCTCCAACAAAATCCAAAATCCTCGGTTTGTCATAGGCCATTTCAGATTCTTGCCATAACAAGGTTGCTAACTTGATCCTAATATTTTGTTCAGCCATCCTCAAGGCCCATAGCGCAATGCTGGGCGCCTCGGTGACAAGCCTCACGTCCCTTTCAGCCCAAATACGGGCGGACGACCGCCGGCGGCGGAAAGATACGCGGAGAGAGGACCGCCTCTGCCACGAGGACCGGGAGCGGGAAGACCGGCTCCCGGCGGAGGACAGGGAGCATGCAGAGCATCTCCTTGTCCTTTCCGCTGGGCTGCCTGCTCGGCTCGGTGGGGAGGCGGTGAGTGGGGGAGTGGGGGAGGAACCGGGGAAGCGGGCAGGGAAGCGGGCGGGAGTGGGGGAACGGGACGGAGTGGGGTGTGGGTGTTGTTGGCTGGGGTGAGGTGGGGCGGCGGGGCCGTGGGGCCATGGGGAGGGATGGCGCAGCGGTGGGAGGGGGGGCGTGGCCGTAATCGGTGGTTTCTTTTAGCTATTATTCCCCCCCCAGTGATTTTCATTATTAAATATTGCCACGATACCCCGCACGCCCGATGCAGAATATGGTTGTGAATTACTTGCCCATTTCAGCCCTTTTTAGCGTTGTGATTAGCAAAAGCTGGTTGGTAAGCAGCAGAATATCAGGCATCCACGCCCATTTAAAGTGTTGGGCACTGGCCTATGCTTGATTGCGTAGTTACCGATACTCTTTGTGGCATCATGCTCAACTCAGTGCCATTGCCACCCTACGGCGGACAAGTCGCGATATCAAAGGCGAGAATGGCAGTCAGGACATCTGCCAAGACACATATAGGGCCCTGGCGTCTGGCGTCCGGCTTGGGCAGAGCTTAGGACGAAGGCCGCCACTACTCGTACCTCCTGGTCAAGAATTGGCACCGCTTTTGGAATAGCCCCCATGGACCCATAAAAGTATAGTGTTGAAGCTGCTACCTCGGGGGGCGCTTACACCGCTACCTTGACAACAATATTTTTCGGCCAGGAGACTGAACGACTCCACCAAGCATGACATGCTGCCAGGGTTCCACACTACTGCCAATAAGATTATATCGCGCCGTTGAGTCCTTCATGTAATTCTAACACAATTCAATTTCCTTCTTATTAGAGAGTTTGCGCCCGCAGACCCAGGGGGCAGTTACCACAAAAAGGACCTAGATGCGGGAAAGAGTTTGCGCATAGGATCCGGGTGACTTGGCCGCCGGGTTACCATGGCTAATTTCAATGTGAGATGTTGATAGCCAGAGCAGAGAATGTAGAATCATTATTATTACATGACTGTCATACTTTTCATATCGTTTATTTCTCTCGGAGCTGCTTTGCGCTTAGCTCGCCTTAGTATCCATAGAAATATGTTGGTGTTGTATATTTTTGACGCTGCTACTTGTACCTAGAAACTTACCCTAGGTCTGCGGGCGCAAACTCTTTATTAGGTGGACTTGGTGGTTGGAAAGGAAAGCGTCCAATTACTTGCAAGAGTCATTGCCGGGCGTGTGATGTGGCCTCTCACAGGATACTGGTATCTTGCGCCACTGGTAGGGGCTCTCAAACAGCTCAAACGCTATTCTCTTTATGCGTCGGCCTGCGCTATTCCAGGAGAGGCGCCAATTCTTGGCTCGGAGGCACAAGTACTGTATAGTACGGTCCGTCCCGTCTATGTCTGGTGCCTGCAGCTTGCGACGCCTGCTCCCACCCTACGAGTAAGGCCGATAGATATATTCATCACGTGAGTCTGATAAGAAAATTTCGGTGCACCTTTTGGCTGCGATGTGTCCTTAGATAATACACGCGATGAATATATTTATCGGCCGTACTGGTAGTACAGCTCACTCGATAATGGCAGAAGCCTGCCTGAGCTATCTGAATTCCAAGCAAGTCAGGGCCCTTTCTTCCAGTCCCTCTCCTGATATTCAAGACACACCCTTTCTAGAATATTCTTCCCTATATTAGGGAACACATGCCAGAAGGGAACGTTCACATTGCCCGAAACTCCTTACACTAAAGCTATTTGACAGCTACAGCAACCACATATCCACCAAAATCCTCTTAAAAGCACATGGCGCATATGGTCACTTTCCTGATTTCGATATATCCTACTAGTTTAGTGGTCTACACTGTGCATCCTTCTTTTAGGATCGTTGAGCTTGGAGCTGGTTTGGCAGAGGTGAAATGCTATGATATCAACCAAAACGACTGTACGGGTAGAACACCGCTCGCCTGGGCTCCCGGGATGGGGCACAAGGGAGTGGTGAAAATTCTACTCGGACGGGGCGACGTCAACCCCGATGAACCAGATAATAACGGCCGAACATCACTCAGTTTGGCTGCCCGAAATGGCCACGAGGAAGTAGTGAAAATACCGCTTGGACGGGACGACGTCAACCCTGGCAAACCAGATAATCACGGTCAAACACCACTCCTTTGCGCTTCTCTCGCCGGGAGAGAGGGAGTGGTGAAAATACCCCTCGCACGTCACGTCAACCCAGACCACTCAGATGATTGCGGCGGAACACCACTCAGTTGCGCCGCTTCGGGGAGGAATGAGGGGGTGGTGAAAGTAGTACTCGGACGGGGCGACGTCAACCCCGATAAACAAGACAGTTATGGCCAAACACCACTCAGTTTGGCCGCTACAGACGGGCAAGAGGGGGTGGTGAAAATACTACTCGGACGGGCCGACATCAACCCAGACCAACGGGACAATGACGGCAATGACGGTCGAACACCACTCAGTTGGGCCACTTCGGGGGGGCACAAGGGGGTGGTGGAAATACTGCTTGGGCGGGACGATGTCAGCCCAGATAAACCAGACAATGACACCCAAACACCACTCAGCCGGGCTGCTCGGCGTCACCATGTCGGAGTGGTAACTCTATTACTGCCTCTAGCATCCGCTAACCCACCAAGGGCTAAGTATTAGGTGGCATAAACCTCCCTCCTGCCCCCGAGCCCGGACAGCCTATGTTCTATCCCCGGAAGAACCGCAACATCTCTTTAAACATATCTATCTCTACCATTGCCTCCCTCCTCCCATCCCTTATCTGCCGCCTCTCGCAGTCTATAATACCGGCGTGTTGTAGCAGCTGTCCTTCCTTTCCTCTCTTCCAGCGTGAGCCTGCCACAGAAGCTCGGATCAAATATCTTCTTTTGGCTCCAAGGAAACACATCTGATGGGGATCCACTTATCTACCACATATCCGTCCAAACCTCTATTATTTTTATTTTATAATCGAGC